TTTTTAAATTTTATTTTTATTTTTTAAATTTTATATTATTTTCTTTTGACTGAAATGGCACACTGTATTATGTTTACCTAATTGACCAAAACAAATTATCAACTTTTACTTTATTATCAAGAGTTTCTCTTTGATATATTTGCTGCCCAATTAACTTAAGGCCAAGAACTTCAGTTAAGTAAGTACTTGGCTTGTTTTCGCCATTCTAGTTTTGAGCTGACCAACTTATGGATGAACGCCATAGCTGGGGAAATAAAAGCAAATCAAAAGACAGCGAGATATAAGACAGACAAAGCAATCAAAGCTGCGGCACTACACAACGCAGCTCTGCAGAAAATAAATTAGAAACAATTTGTACTTTGATTAACATATGGACGCAAAGTGGCCTAGTAGCCGGATTTCGGCGTCCATTTCTTATTCAAACAAATATTTACATACATATTGATTTATGTTGTCTGCCCTCAAATGAAAAAAACTAACAGCTATTTTGCTTCTGCCTACGTATTTTTCTTCGTTTTTGCCATACTAATTCCTTCTAACCAGCGGCTGCCGACAGCCATTTGGCCTTTTTTGTTTGTTTATTTTAACAATTATCATAAAAAAAGTCTGTATTGAGTGCTGTTCACGAAATGTGGCAATTGACGCAGATTTTATGGTAAGTGTATTCAAATGCGAAAATCGCAAAACTTCAAGCAATTACGCGCGTGTTTAAAGAACACTTAAGTATGCATTCTTAAGGCCCGTCTACATACAACTTTGGCGTTGCGTTGGTGTGGGCGTTGCTTCGCCAGCTGACTATACCAAACCAAATTGGCAATGCCAACGCAAAAGCAACACAGAGAGATGGCCAACTCTCAACTTATCGCGTGCGTTCCAAATAATCAAAATTATGTAAAATAATTAAAGTATTCGCTGCTAAGCGTTCATTGTAGCAAGCATGGGCGTTACTCGCGTTACTAGCGCTGCTGTCAAAGCGACGCCAGCGCCAATGCAACGGCAAATTGATTAAGGATTTCATTATAGTATCTA